CTGTCAACCCTGAAGTGTTATAGCAGGATATGACTGTGAAGGGAGTATCGAGGAAGTATATAGCCGTAATCAAAGCTCTCTACTCCAACTCAAGCAGCTATGTAAGGGCTTATGGACAGTTGCTCTCGGAATTGACTAGAAATAGAAGTATCTGACAGGAATGCTCACTGTCGCCGTTCCTATTTAATTTCAACTCACTGGGATTCTTCTACTCTTTGGAGGGCATCTGGTTGACTTGGAGCATGTAGAAGACATTGTTCTGCCAGGTCAAGACGCGGACACAATGCAGGATCTTCTAAATAACTTGACCAGAAATTTGAGTGTTCGGCAATGGGCATAGTTGCACAAGGAGTGGCTATCGCAACTCAATAGCTTAGCGGATGACCCTCCGGCGTTTAAGGCGATGAGTAGTGGACTGAAGTCTTTATGGGAACTCCATCACTAGAAGTCAAGTACATCTAGTTGAACAGTCCCGAATAGAATGAAACGTGTGTTCTCGAATCCACTCCAAGCCACTTTTCTTTTTTAATATTATTGTTAAATGTTATTAGTTATTAAGTGGCTGGTTAAGGATGTGGTGTATAAGTAATCCATATGGACTATATGAAACAGAGATGATTCATCTTGCCTGCACACTCTCGAATATCTCCCCTCAGTTTAAAGTGAATCTCCTATGTCTAGATAGTTAACTCTGTTGTATAGAAATATCAGCTGAATTGTCGATTTCACAATTCTTTCAAATAGATTTTGATGTCTCTCAACTAACATTCAGAATACTTCATTTCTATGCGCTTGAATATTTCAAAGAAAATACAGTGTAACTTCATGATCTATGATGAGCACATTTTCCGTCGCCTTATCTCTTACTCATAGTTTAGATGTTTGGATTTTGTTTTGAGCAGTCAAACCCAAAATGGAAGAAACGTGAACAGGTAATATTCATCACTGAGTGTGCCCTATCACTCTGATTGTTAACCTAATAAGTGCAGAACAGAATACATTCAATTCCACATGCAACACGTAGAGCGAGAAATTACTGCTTACCACACTTACACTCATATATTACTGTAGAGCTTGCTTTTAGCTCAGGTCACAGATCACATTCTACTTTGGACAACATTTCTATAATCCACCGGTTGCGTATAATTGATGATGATAGTTTCCATTGCAACTGTGTTAGACATTACTTCAGCAATGCTGGAAAAACTGATAATCTACACTAAGATTGAAGTAGGTTCCTTTTGACAGATGATGACATAAGTCTCTTGACAGGATGAAAGGATTTCTTCGAATAAGGTTACGGAGAATTTCAACGATGTGAAAACAATTTATTCACAAAAAGCGATGAACTGTAAGAAGCTGTTCTAAGGGGAACAATGGAATAACCCTTAGTTCTGTTGCATTCCGACACAGTGTATACAAACAAAGTTTTCACAATCAGTTCAGTCATTATTTTCATCGGAGCTTCACACAGAGATAACACTACCTGACAGCATTCATTTTGTCTGTTTTCACTATTTTAGGTCAAAGGTTCTTTCTTGTGTTAGTCGTTGAAACCATTCCAATGTCGAGAAAGTAGGATGAAACAACATTAGACCAAATAGAAGACATAATAAACTGCTTGCTATCACATCGTATCTTCTCTTTTGTTCATAAATCGTCTGTGGGAAGTTTCCCCATTTCATTTTTAGGTATTTGCGCCAATAGATGCACATATAAAGACATTTTCAGAAACTGGAATGTCATCTATAATTAAATACAGTTGTTTTGTCACAAAAACTATTTGAAACTTCTTTGAAGACGACAATAACAGCGAGGTTTCACTGCACTTTTCTTCCTACCTGAAGCTAGATTTTGACCATAATGTAACTAACAATAACATTTTAACGTGTGATTGATTACGGTCAAGCAGTTGTTAAAATGAAAAGAAAAGAAAAAGAATGGTACAAGGGATGGGAGAGACAGGAAAGATATAGAAAGAGGAGTTATAACATTTATTCTTCTTCTGCTTTTTACAAAGTTAACCTTTCATCAGTAAATCCGCTTAGGAAGTTTAACGAACCAACTTTTTTCAAGTAAGGAAGCGAAAATGTGTCTATTTATGACTCTCTTGTCCTCTCTTTCGGGTATTTCCTTATCGTTGTTTTACCTACTCTATCCCATGATCTATTACCTACAATTATCATGTTATAAAAATAAATTGTCATCCATGTAACATCAGCCAAGGTGTTGTATGTACACAAGTGTGTATCTTTGTGTAAGTGCATTTATCACTGGCCTGTTGAAATCGGAGGTATTTGTTGATTAGTTTATACCTTTTGTCATTTGACTTTTCATTAAAAGTACACCTTTTAGCCTACACTTTATATTATAGCCACTAAAATAGATAAATTTCCAGGTATGTTGTTTCTCAAAAATCGATGTCATTTAAACAAGCGATTCAAACAAGTCTAACAATATTAGAAAATAATTTCATTTTCTGTACGACTACAAACCACAGTGATCTGGCTCAGAATCCTAAAACTTCGAGGTATACTGCTTCACCCTTTGACATGTTGGTTTCACTTCCCATTGATTGACAAAATGGAATTGTGGCTTTGAAGTCAATCACTGTGCTGTGTTCAGTAATGATTGCTTAAAATAAGTGAAGTGAAACACTTCTGCAGTATCCCTTGGTTTTCGTTTTTGTTCGACTGGACAGTTCACGATGAAACTAGAACATACACACACTACGAAGCTGAAGTGACAATTGACATGCTTGATAAATAAAGCATCTATGCAGTAGTTTCAGAATCCTTGTTGAGGCACTAAACTAAAGGTATTTAGATAAAAGTCACTCTTTCACTGATATCATCCTCAGATTTCACAATCACAGATAAATAACACACTTCCTTGGTAGAGAAAAACAAAGATTTTTCAAAATATCTTCTCGAATTTCAATTTTGGTTACAGGTAAGGGGGTCATAGTAATATTGTATAATGTGTAGTGATCGATAAAGGACTGGCAACACCAAGGTAGTATCAATTTACTAAGCTGAATGATTCAGTATGGTTAAGGGGATTGATGAATGCGTATTCAAAACTGTGATGTTGGAAGAGTGCGGTACACAAGATGTAACCAGACTGAAGAGAATATTTTGACATTTGAGTTTAAGCTTCAAATCAAATGACTGCACAAACTTTTCATGTACCCAGGGTTTGGAATTGCAAATGCAAATTACAATAGTATCCACAGTTTGAAGAAGTTATACCCATGTTTTGCTTTTCAATAGGCTATCATAAAATTTGTACATCATTTCCATAGGTAATTAGAAGGTCTTTCTCTTGGATATGCATTTAAAAGAAAATATTGACTTGGATCAAAATAACTTTCTCAACAGGAGCATGTGAACTGATAAAAACGCCTTCAGATGACCAGGAGCAGTAGGTTGTCTCTCACACATAATCGGAGCACTAACCGGTTGTAGAAAATCACTCAAAGTTTGGCATAGTGAGGGATATTTTGCCAATAAATCTTTATTGAATCTTGAATTATTTAGAAACCAGAAGAGTGGGATGATTATCTGGTCTTGTTTTACAATGAAACACTTAGAATTACTGTATGCAACCAAAACGTTATTGAGAAGATTTGGTTAGTCTTCCAGTTACATAACTACGCATACCAATCAATTCATGACATAAAAATGGATCGGATTTCAGTTCTTTTTTTCTAAAGATATGAAAATATGAGTTATTTACGCTTTAGGTAATTCCTCTCATGAATCAGAAAGTGGAATGACAAGTGTTTTTTACCGTCACCAAGAATATTTTTTGTGTGCGTATTTCGACTGTCAGAGATGTATGCGAGCGAATATTTCGGGTGAAATAGTCAAAGTTTTCCATTTGATGGCTAGAAGTCGATTCCATTGTGCTATGCAGCACACATTCTGTTCACTTTTGTATAAACGGGCACTAGTCAAGGGTCTGTTCAACCAGATTCACAGTACTCTCATATATAATACTTGAGAGAAAGAAGTGCAACACCTCATCAAAGTATTACTAGCCAACAGCTGACCTCTACAATTTATACATCTGAAAAGAAATACTGAGCAAAGAACAATCATTTGTCCAGTTAGTGGCAAAAATATATGCGTCTGTCAACCTAACGCTTAAGAATGACTCATAATGTCTGACAACTAAATAAAGACTTCAGACAACCATCTGAATGACAAACATTGCAGAAGAGTTTGACATCCTACATAACATGAAACATGTACATCCTTTTAAATCCTTGTAGTATTTAGTGGCGTTGAAACTAGTGGCTTCATTTTTTGATCTGTATGTAAATTTAGTCACACATACCGAAGGAGGACCTACCGATCCATCCAATCACCAGTAAAGGAGAATATTTCAAAATGTCTGCGACCACAGTTCAAATCGAATGACTCCACTAACACAGGCAATATATATCCAACTTCGCTAGTAGTTAAACTTATTGATGAATTTATTCCTGGGGTTTATTTCTACATAATGCTCAAAACCTATCTACAAATCCTACCAAGTTCACCCACAAACGTTTGTTAAACCTTTAGAGGTGAGAAAGTTTAGACCTCATTTATGGATTAAAAAACAGTTTTTTGTCACATTGTGCTTCCCTTCATAACTCGGCTTCAATATCATAGTTGGTTCACAAGTTTTCTTTCTATTTCGCCAAACTAACAACTTGACTTTGTGTGATCAAAACACTCAAAGTGAATCGTGCAAACTCAGTACGCAACAGGTAGACTATGTTTTCTTATCATTTCCATCACCATCAAATCTCTCTCATGGTAGGTCAATTTTATCAGTATGAGGTTTCACGTGGATTGTTATAGTAGCCTATTTCATTGTGACTTCATTTCAAATAATCTCCAGCTACCTATCAAATTTACTGCAAATGCCATTATACTACTAGGTAGTAGTACTGAAATAGAAGGGAAATTAACAAATAATTAATGTTATCTGTTGGTTTCCATTTCCAGGTTACCATAAATGGATTGGCTAATCGAGCTGGTGTGGAAGTTGGTGACGTTATAGTTAGCATTTGCAATTCATTAACTGTTGGTAAGACATATGAACAAGTGAAGGCTGAAATGCTACGCGCCGGCAATGAATTAGACCTCATACTGATTAGGTAAGTAGTGTACCTATATTTCTATCCCTGTATAAGTAGCTCTCATTTACTCATATCTCCTCTCTCACAAGCTTTCTATTTCTGTATCATTCAGCAGCAAAGTCACTTAAGGTAATGCATCTATGTATGTAGACCTTACCTGATGTGTATGTCAAACTACCTAAGTGTCAAGTAAGAAACTCACATACTCGTAAAGAATCCATGGCTAAAGGATGGAAATCTAATTAACCCAAATAAACATAGAGAGCCTACTGTTTCAAAATGCTAAATGGTTAAAAAGATGCCCACATGCAATTTCATGTACTATTACCATAATTAGTACTCAACTGCAGAAATTTCGACTAATTTTTCGACAGAATGTAGAGCTGACTGATAAAACCTGGATACAACTAGACGGCGAAAATGCAAATCAGGCAAAAAGATTCCCGGAACCTTGAAATTCAGGTAGATCACTAATCAGTTCTGGTTTCACTACGATCTCAGTGTAATAATGAATGGAAAGCATGCAAAAACTGTAACGTTGGAGATCAGTTTGACAAAACAGCTGATCAAAGTTTCAGTACTGGCAATAACAACAGGACTAAGGAAACAGTAGATTGCACTTATGGTCGTAGGGATAATATACTAAGTTTCCCATACAAAAAGTTTCGTAGCTAAGTCGTTTCCAATGCTGTCATCTCGAATGACAGAGAGAGTCAGCTAACAATGTTCGACACCTTCTAGACGAAAATCTTCCGATTCGTAGACATCCGTGAAACTGTCTACCTAGCGAAACTCTTTGAAGTCAGTTAGCGGTATGCATTTTTCTCCCTCTGGGCGAATAATGCTAAGTTTATCATTGGGAATTAGTGTAAACGCATACTGAATCTCAGTGGTGTTACATTCGTCCAAGAGGACGACCATCTTAGTTACAGAAGCCATCATTCTTTTTCAGACATCATTATTAGCAGGAACACGACAAGATGAAAATCATCCTGTTTATCTACTAACTTTCCACAATCCCTTCAGTATATCATCCGACAAGTGGATCGACTGGACAGCTGCACTTTTTTATGTGTTGTGTAAATGTGTGTATATGTAACAAGCATACCAACGGTGTCTCATATCCTTTCCTATATTCGTAATGATAATGATTACAATACAATTTCCAAATTATTTCACCCATATTTAAATAAGCATATATCAGTTTATTGCAATGACCAAATGTTTGTCCTCATTTATGATGCCAAAAGTTATACAGTTTTTCTTCATCATAGCCTACTTATAAGTGATGCCATCTGACATGTGATTCACGTGTTGTTTCATGGTGTTGAAACACATAATTAGTTATGCAATTAACTTCATGGAATAATAAATAATTCGAGAGCTTATTACTTCAATGTAGGATAATCCATGTGATGTACATACTTGTCTAGGCAGGAAGATTTAAGAGTAAGTAGACTGCTGATTTGCTTGTTGAACGGAAGCAGGAGAATAAAGTTTCGGTATTCGAACAATGATGCGGATAATAAGTACATTTTCTTTGTTGGCGCACTGTTCCTAACTTGCTTGAAGAATATATGTACATCTATTCTCAAATTATCGATTACATTAGCAGGAAAAGCAAAAATGCGTCTCACCAAGATAGGACTGTACTTCAGAATGCATAAAGTGAAGCATGAATTCATTCCTGAAAAGTGCAAAACATGAAACACTTGAGGTTAGATAAAATGTGTAGTCATCTACTCTCATCCTATCAGTCAGGTTATATTATAGAGACATTTTGTGCAAAAGAAGAAATACAAACAAAACTGAAATGAAGTTGAAAACCATCTATATTTCAGTGCATAATCAATGACTTTATGCTGTTAGTTATGCCACAGAACGTTAGTTTAGTCAAAAGAAAGCTGAGGATTTCCATATTTGTTAGTCTGGTTTTAACAGCATACATATTCGAAAGAAGACTCGAATACATGGGAAAAAAGTCACTGTAATGGCGTGATTTATGTAACAGAAGGAATTCAGAAACATTTAAAGACATTACCCACATTTAAAGAAGATTGTCGTTCCATAACCATAGGATTTAGATGACAGTTGTTCATCAGACACCCAACGAATTTGCCTTAGTGAAAAAAATACATGAACTTCTGTGAATCCAATGAAAACTAACGTCTCATCACATACTTGAATTCCTTTCAGCAGCTTATCGAAATTTTATTTCATAGAGTTGCACAAGTATGATTTCATGCGGAAAATCAATAAACCATCACAATACATGACTAAGCAGTATGCTATAGACTTCATCAAGCAAGACAACTCAGACAAATATGTTCACAATGTACTGACCAAAATCAGATGCCTATCGGAGACAGCAGAAATTATATTTGATCTCATAACAATGGACACATTCACAGTATCAGTTGCGGAACACAACAACCAAACAAAGATACAGTGCAAGTTAGTATTACTTCCAAACTGCCAACCACTCAAATTCCAATTCATCTACAGCATGCACATCATAAACTGAAATAGTGACCACATTCGAACCTCTAAGTGATCTCATACACTCTGCTTAGTCAAGAGATTTCAAATAGTTAACTATCAGCAGTGACATGAAAATGAATTCCCTGATTAATTCACACCAGCTTGAATCAACCCGCTGACAAAGATACAACAATTGGTTGTATACTGAAATAGACAAGCCTCATACGAAACCATATAGCTCATGTCAGTTTGTCAAAGTAGAGACTTGATAGGCGAAATCGATGTTGAATGTTTGGACACAGTTGGAAGGCAACGGGTTTCCTCTCCAGTGTACATTCAAAGTACCTAACCCAGTCCTACACAAGGTCGAATGAAACCACTAGAAATCCAGTTAATCCAACTCATGTATGCCATCAACTGCAACGATGATCTCTAGTAAACCACATCCCAATCTTATTTGGTTTGATTCGTTGACAGATATCAAACAGTCTACTGTAAGCAGTGCCACGTAAACTGATATGCGAAATGAACCAGAACAGTCTCTGTCAACTAGCCAAACCAGATCTGCAGGCTGTTTCCTAATCACTCGAACAAATAAACATCCCCATCTTAAACGGTATCATCGGTGTTGGTTTACGAAGAGAGAAGGATTTGATGAATGGAATCATACTAACTTGTCGTGGTTTTGTGTTGTCTTAGTTGGATTGTGTAATCGTGAGGACTGGATTCACGGCCTAAACAACGTAATCATCAAAAAGCTGAGAAAGAAACCTGTTAGAGGAATTTCTGCCGAAATGGCTAGGTTACTTATACAATCTAATCTGCACTCTCTCTGAACGTAATTTTAATCTCATTTTCTAGTTTCCGTCTCCTCAGTGATGCCCAGGAATGTCAGGTCTTCAAGCGAATATGATATCACAGAAGAACCTTATATCAACCCCTTGTGTGGAAATCTTAGCACTTCAGTCAATCCATCATGTAGAGTAGACGTCACTCTATGACATCGACAAGTATTTGTCCTGATACGCGATTGTGTTGACCCTACTGGTCATGTCTTCACATCTGAATATTGGGAAAGTCAGCTCACACTTGCCATGAGATACAAACTGGTGTTGTTCAACAGAATACTATCACGCACTGTGACAAGATCATGCATGTTGTCATTTGTCTTCACCTCATCATTTCCACTATTCCTCATTTCAGGTTATTTTTGTGTAGTTGTCTGTGAAGCACAGGTTCATTACATTTGTCACTGGCAAAACGTAGTATCATATCACCATATTTTAGTCCATCTACTCAATAGTCTAGTACTTCATGGGCATTACATTTCATAGAGCCACTCACAGCTGCTGCAGTATGACAAACTTAACTAATTATTCTGTCTTAACTATATCAGCTCATTCCGAACAAGTTGTCATTTTCGACACAGTCAGCCTCACAGTTAAGTGAACACTTTCAGAGCACTCGAAATCCTGCACATATGAGCATGCACTCAGATAATACTGTAGCATCATAGGGAGAAGTGATCTTATGTCTGAAATGCAGCTTCTGTTGTTGTGTGAAAGTCATCTGCCATATTATTTGTAATATCAAATATTCTACTAAACATCAGAGACAGTAGTATGTTATTTTGTTAAATACACTTTGCTTTTGTAAATCTCTCTTCTCACAGACGAGGAGTTGACATGAACAAAGTGATGCAGATCGCGCCTCACCTTATGCCTACCTCTTCCTTCAATCAACAAACATCATTTGATTCCGACACTAGTAGCCAGAGGAAACTGTCAACAAGATCATTAACACGAGGTCGCTCGTTTCGTCCTATCCAGACAAAATCATTGCGCATCCTGGAGCAGCAACTGAGTATTGGGGAAAGTACAGGCAATCCAGTGGTAAAGGTTAGACAGGTAGCAGCTGAACCCCGTGGAATAACTCCACCTGCTTACAACACCTCATTCACTAAAGCCTACGGGCAGAATGTCAGCAGTCAAATGTATATTCCAGATCGTCAGATAAAACCACAACAATTTCGACCAGTATCCATGACAACAGTTATACATCCCACTCATAGTCCACAAGGCAACCAGCCACAGTACAACTCATACGAATATGATCGCACAACCTACAATATTTCACCGAACCAGTGGGTGACCACTCAACCGATTCAACTGTGGAATAATACTGGGAATAATTATACCACCACTGTCATTACCAATAGAAATAACAATCGTGGTAATTATGCTGACAGCAATGTTGGTCGTCAGTCCTACCAACGGACTGAAAATATTAACTGGATGAAGGCTACTCCGTCAAATCAATATACAGAAAGCGATTATCATCATCAGAACACTTACACGATCAATAGTTATAGCGAACAAAGTAGGTTTTGAAAAGGATTTTTCGAAGATTTTTGTAGTCTTTTGCATTAAAATATAACCACTAAAATGTGTTCATCACGAATACTTGATGCTTGCAAGCTGCATCTTATGTCTCATTGCCAGTCGAGGTGCCTATCTGATGATCTGAAAACTTAGGGAGTACGGTAGGTTAGTGTTCCTAGTTGCCAGTAGTTCTGTAATTGATTTCAGTGTGTGACTGAAATAAGTGTAAAATCAGAACCTAGACAATGTGGTATAGCATAATTTCATGCTTGTTGGACTGCAGCATATTTCACACAGTGAAAGTATGCTATTCACTGGATAATCTTTCGAACAGCATTTATCGTTCATATTCATATGAAACATAACTGCAAAACTTTGAATGAAATTACCTCGAACAGAATCACTATCCTAGAAATAACTTGACTGAAAAGCGGTTTACACTTCCTTTCACAGACTATGCACTTTTAGAAAGTGTCATGCATAACTACTCAAAGCTCATTGGCATTCGTGATGCACTTCTCATCACTGTCTGTGTGGCATAGCAGAGTAATATAACTCCTAATAATATCAAGCACTGCTTCCCTGACTATGAGGAGACTGCTGAATACTACTGTAAGTTATGAAGTTCAAGTTGCACTGACACCATTCCTATAATCTATAAGGTTGAATATTATGTGGTCTACCTAGTCAAATGCATTCAATCCCTGAAGTAGCATGTTACACAAGGCATGCTGTATTGTGAGAGCTGGGCATCAAATGCTCATCAGTTTGAGCATGAAGTTATTCTTAAAAGTGCAAAGCACCTAGATTCAATTACACTACACCATCTAGAAAGTCTAAAGTTAATCGACAGAAAACTGAGACCACGGTCTCATGCTTGACAGCACACATTAACTAGATACGTTCACATGATTATTATAGGCATTACGGTTATTAATACCACTACTATTTTAATGTCTAAACACAACACTCCCACCATTCAATATTCTATTCATAAGATTTACATTCTATTCGTCCTAACCGATTTCAGTTCAACAGATTCCTCTAGGCATATTCTAGAGAACACAGTCTTGTAACAACATGATAACTACTTCAGTTGAGTCACTTCACTTCCTATCCTCCACTTCACAGTTCTCATTCACATAGACCACAGTCATATCTAATCATACTCATGTTAATTCGGCAAATTCAAGTCTGACTTATCTGACACATATTCCAGCTTGCATTGACTATTTCTGAACAATATCCATGGGGTTGTCACTTCAGAGGATGAAGAGGAGGCCTTCAGAGAACAGCTTAACACTCAAGAGTTCCTTGTCTTGTTGGTTCGACTACCTGAGATAACCTTGTATTGACAGGTAGAGAGAGGACGACATTAACGTGGTCACTACAGTATTTCAACTGGCACCCACCTGCTTGTCATTCCAATTGAATTCCGACATACGAGGCATAGTTCAGTCACATTTCCATTCTGACCACTGACAGATATGACTTGATTCCATGTGAATGATTCATATGTAACTCGCAATATGCAACCACCATGATCATCATTGTGCTTAGGAGTAGAATGGACAGACCTGTCCAGTGGGAGAGTGGTGGACCGTCACTTCTGCATAGATGATTACTTGTTTCTCTCGGGCCTTCTGTGAACTGACTGATGTATACAGTTCAGTACTCAGAACATCAAATTTGTTCACCTAATCACACTCACTGTTCGTTCCTTCTTCTTCCTCTTCTCCTTCTCCTTCTCCTTCTGCTTCATCATCATCATCACCATCATCATCATCATCATCATCTTCTTCTTCTTCTTCTTCTTCTTCTTCTTCTTCTTACACTTCGACTTCGACTTCGAAAAACTGACTGGGAATAGACACAGATGAAATTTGGACTTTATTATGCATATAAAGTGATTTTTGGCCATTGTAAGTGTTCCCTCACATGTTTGCTTGGATGCATGTGGTCATGTGGGTAAGAAATTAAGCATTACACATGATTGAAGTGTAGCTACATTACCTTGAAAGTCACATGACTGTGGTTATTGCTTCCTACTTCATTGATATCCAGAAGATTTCAGGTATAAAATCACGTTGAAATGTATTTGACGAAAACCTGAAATCAATGAATAGTGTATTTTCAACATTATGCAAAATTCGAACAGGTTTTAGGTGGATGTTCACTGGCCGTGATAGCAAAAGCAGCATTTCGACTCACTATTTCACAGAGATTCAACAACTGACCTTGAAATATTCTCACTTCAAATCATTTCTACATGAGACAACGATGCAATTGAGAACCTGGAGAACACTTAAGAACACTTGAGAACACAGAAAGGCTAGTCAACTCCAGCTCGAAGAAACAATAACAGTGATGTGTGTTCACCTCCAGCCTTGCTAACACTCACATCCGAGTGTGTAGGTTGGCACATAACCAAACAGAATTGAAAACACTCAATTTATGTTACTTACAATTTGAATATCAACACCGGTTACTCACACTGACTACAGCTGTGTACATTCACAGCTGAATAGAATCGGCTGTCTACTTTTATCTAGAAGAGATTGAAGATGAACAGCTGAATGATTGCTGCAGCTGCTGCTTCTACCTCTTCTCCATTGCTTCTTGAAAACATCTCATCAGCCTAATCAGATTATGACGGCCACCAAACTAAGCAAACTCCATCTAGGCTACAGATCATTCATAGATGCCTATTTGGAGAAGGGAGAACGAGGATGTACTTGTTAATCCACGTAGTGCACAAATTCAATTTCCTGTGACTGTATTTTTCTGAACTCAACTGCAACGATGTAGACGGATGATGGAGGAGTAAAACACGGGCGATCTGGCAGATTGTGATTTCATTTCAGTATTCTTCCTAGATGCATCACCTGTGAAACAGTTATACACTGCATAAGGTTTTCGATAAACATCATTGACTACAGTTATACTAAAATAACTGCACAAATTTGAGACATCGTCAGTACATTTCTTATTCTCTCTCCTCTTTTGTGATAATGTGACCAGTTGAATATTGCTAATATCTGGAACAGATGCTGAGTCATTCCTGTTGCTCGCACCTGCTCTTGATTCGATTCGTTTATCAATCTCTGCCTACATGAAATTTAGTTACTCTGTGAAACTGGTACATTGTCCCATTCCATTTTGTGATTGTGAGCAGTCGCAAGCATAGCTACATCCTAGATCCCATCTACACATCTTCCATTATAAGGGTCTTTCAATTTTCCTCCAACTAAGATTTTGTCCTCGGTATTAGTAACAACCGTGTTACTGAATAAGTGGGTGTCTGAACCAATACGTATTCTCGATAGTCTCATCAGGCAATGCGTTGAAATACAATATTTGAAACACGGAAACCAGCAAACACCAACTGGTTACATGGAGTTTTGACAGTTGTTTGTTTATTAGGCTAATTTTAAGATTAAAATTGTGTAGCAGTTTGTACCACAATATTTCGAGGGGATAACAGTAGATAACAGATTACTGGCTTGACGATCCACTTATCATAGTCTTCTTAATGAAGTTGTCAGAGGATTCATTCCTTCTGAACGAGTCCACCAAGTCTTGTTCATCTTCATCCATCGTGTAGTGTAAGAGCAAATTCTTCTTGTCCCTTCAACCGGACATCGAAGCAAGTTCATTCTCTGACATGGACGAACAAAGTTATAAAAGTGTATATTCCTTCCACTCGAAGAAGATGAGTGGTTAACCCTTTCTGACAATCTCTCCTCCATCTGAACTAGTTACAAAGACACCTAAGAAAGGTGTCTTGTGCGAATATTCCAGTTCACGAAGGAATGTTATCCATACATGCGATCTGCTGAGATTCACTATTCATACGTTGATCTTCGTCTTCTTGTCACCAATAAAATAGATATCGTCAGTATAACTGTGGTAAGTTTCCACTCAATCTATGCAGAGATTCAAATCACCATTTTCCTATTGGGGAGTGGATCAGTTGCAATGAAAGGAATTATAATGGTGGGAGTGTGGATTGGGAAATCAGAACCTACACAGCCCATCATACAATGAAGGCACCTGAGAAGTGTTGCGAAGTTTTCGAAATGAGACTGCAGTTGGATTGCCATTTGAATGCACAAAGTGACTGGAAAGCAAGCTTTCTAGGTTAAAACGTCACATTGGTCCGACTAGGTAGAATAACTGAGCTCACCAAATCTCTGGTCATCATTGTGAGTTTTACTTATTGGATGGGAGTAATCGACCAGAGTCTATTCAACAGAAACACCTAACCAAATTTAGATTGGTGGACCGTACTAAAACAGGAACGAAGCGGAAATGTAAGCAGCAGTTATGTATGCATTTACACACAATCACACAATCTGGTGGGATTATAAATTATTCCCGAAACCGTTTCACTGTGAGATACATCAAATACACAAATTGAAATGGGATGTAGACAGATGAAAATAAGCGACAGATATCTCATTTAGCCAGTGACCGACTGTTGGGTTTCAGCTTGAAGTCACCAATTCAGGTACACCTCTCAATTAATAATTATTCAGAATCGATTCAAACAGATGGGAATAAGACTTCCAATTACTAGTGCACTCCACTCTCATCATCTCACATTCTGGTAGAATAAAAGTGAACAGATGTGGTTTTAGTAAGCAGGTTTGTTTGCATGGATGGATGGATTGTAATGTATTTAATGAAGCTAAAATTTGTTGCTTTCCATAAATTCTGAACGGAATTGTTCGACATAATAATTGTTTGGCTTGCTACTGTGTTTCGAATATGATTCAGTTAAGATTTTTATTAACAACTGTTGTTTAAATTGGTATAGAAGAGAACTGGTAAATTTTTATACGATAATATAAAGTACTACATGCGTAAAGAAATTTCGTCAGTAATCACACTATATGTTTATTCACAGCTCTTTGTTTTTGTTCATTTTAAAATACGGTACATTTCTCCTGGCCGACGACGATGATATTTGTGGTGTTGTTTTCATTCAGCTGGATAGTTTAATCACGAAGTTGTGACTTCTTTTCTGTTCAACAACATCAACACAAACAATGAAAAGAATTGATCTATAGCATTCCTCCTCAAGTGGATTACTAGCTTCACTTGATAACCATAGGAGTGATTGGAACAATTATTCGCCATTCGCCGTTATACACTTAGCTTCGAAAACACTGTTACCTACTATTTGCCTACGTCTTTACCACACGAATGTTCCCGTAAGATCGGACAGACTTGAATTTCGCATTTACTGTGAAGATGTTCAGAAGTTACTCCTCGTAGAGGTTTCACTACCTTTCTAAACAGCATTTTTTGCGCAAACTTCACAGGAAAGTGATCTATAGACATTTATATACATTGGGACTATTAGTTTGTTTCGATAACGTCGTGTGTGAATAGCTGATTTTAATAACAAGTCGTTACTGAACCCATACTACAATTGTCTGGAAGATTATTATAATGCGGTAACAGCATCAACCAATTTCGCTTACAGCTATCAGCACCAGATTATGATCCCTTCGTAGTGAAATCCTCATAGCTGATTTCTTTCTGCACTGAATAACAATAAAAGCCAGATGACTCAACCATCCAGCTGACAAAGCTCAACACTAAGAAGCGATTCACTTTGAGTCTGATGAGGCAGTTCAATAAACCGTGTGCTTTATTGTTAGAAATTACTTAGAGGTGACTGGCAGTCTATTCTAGGATCTGCGTTTGGTTCCGTGTGGGAATCTTCAGCTAAATGTGCCTGCACCCTTATGCTTAGTGGTGTCTCCACTGAGACTCTAATCCATCCCCCCTCGCTTTAAACGTCAAATTGTCTCCAACTAGGTCAATGAGCCACGACAGCTAACTCTTGTAAAACGAGAAATCAGGTTGATTATCTGGTAAAATAACAAACTTAGTGACGAATGTTACTGTACTATTACTGTGTGTTATGAATATAATTATTGCATTTTTGAAACGTTATTCACCAAGAAGTAAAAAAGGAAAAGGCTATTTTGTTGATGAAATTATGCACCTGAATGTAATACTGTGTGCAGAAAACATGCGTTTCAAATATATATGAATAAGGATTAGTCCAGTGAAGATTTATACACTAGGCTATGAGATATATCAAAGCAGGTGCGATGGGCTCTGAATCCACAACCCATTCCTTGAGAATCGAATGCTTACTGAAGTGAAGACATTACGAGACCCTACACATTCTACTGTTAGTTATTTCAAAACCATAGTTAATTAACTACCAAAAGGAAACTATTGTAGGACATGTTATCGATATGGCTCTACATTTTCAAACTCAAAGCTCTCAATAATACTAAAATGTCCACATTAAAAGTCACTGGGTGTAAATGCTCTGCCAATCAGTATGATCAATATGCATTGGAACAGGTGATGCTGTCTGCCTAAACCAACTGTGAGCATGTTGAAGCAGATAAAAAATCTGAGCCAACCCACACTTCTAAGTCTTTCTTGTTGTCAAGCAGCCTTTCCATACTTTTATATCATGTCCAAACTTTAAAATATATACTCTAACCATGAGTTATACATTGAAATGAAGAACAGGAGATTACTTCAAATGCTGCATCGAAGAACATTACCTTACGCAGCCACAGTCTACTAGTAAGTCAAACCTTCTAGATTCCCTGTACTAAGGATATTGTAAATGTAAACTTCGTTAATGCATTTCATCTCATGCCTAGCTAGTATACTAAATATCTAACAATAGACACTTTAGTTAAGTTAAAATGTACTCAAGTTGATGAACAAAACTTTAACATGACATTAATTTCTGTAGATGTAGTTCATCATTTTTCTGGAGATCATACACAAAAATTATCATGTTCTGAGATCATTTTGCTTTATGCTTCTCTTTGTGTACTTCCTCTTTCGCTTTTAAGATCAATATGAATGTTATTTCTTTAGAATTTTAGACGTCACTTAGACTTCAGATAACTTAATTCATTGTTTTACTAGCAAAAGCTGTAACTTAAACAGTGATATATCGTGGCTACCAGTGGCAACTACCAGCAGCAGCATTCAGTGGAAAATTCCTATAGGAGAGCTAACGTTTTACAATGAATACTGAAAATTAATAGTGAAGCTCTTTTCCCCTTGTTAAGTATTATTATTACTATGGTACAAGAGTAGCTGTCTTGTGTCAATGACCTAGTGGATACCACCTTAGGGTTTGAAGCGATCGACCCAGGGTTGAAGTCTCAGTGGGAACAACTGCTCACTTGGAGGCAGGTACATCCAGCTGATGATTCCCAAATAGGATAATAATCCGTCCTAGAATACAGTAGTAGATACTATCTATCATTAATATTGAAGTAGAGAATATTGGGAATACTGAGACATCCGCACAGGAGCCCATATGCCAGTAATGGCTGATCAATCCGGTCCAATGAACGACGAGAGTTTTTACGAGATAAAACAACGAAACTATTGTCAATATCCTAATGATGGATCGTGGTTAGCAGTGGAATCCAGGATGCGCATTTCGTTCGATTAATTCGGTCTAATCAACGACGGTATCAAATAAAAACAATTATACTAAAAACTATACCCGTCGCACAAGAAGTGGCTATCGTGACTCCATGGTGTAGTGGATAACGTGCTGGCGTTTGAAGCGATCCCTCCTGAGTCCGAATTCCGGTGGGAACAACATCACTCACTGAGAGGCAGGTACATCCAACTGACGAGTCCCAAATATGACAAAATGCGCATGCTGGATTCCACTGCTAGCCATGATCCATCATTAACGTAATTAGAACACTGGCAATATCGAGGCATCTGCACAAGATACCATATGCCAATATAGACCGATCAGTCCGGTCCAATCAACGATGGTATCAGATAACAACAATTATACTATTTTCATTATCCTTAATCAAACTACATAAAATAAGTTGGTGAAAAAACTAAGGGGAAAATTACTGTGTCCGTTTCCTATCTCGTTACACTCAAATTGATAACTAGTGGATATTTGTCTGCAATAAGTAAACCATAGAGAATACTTTGTCCAGACACTTGTATCTTGAAGCTCAGTTTTGCTTCAAATCTTTGCTGCATACATTGATTCGCTGAAAAATGTGATGAACTTCCGACATTGTCATTCTACTGATGTAGATCTAACGTCTAACATTTAGCGATAACATATTTCCAACCTATTCTCTACTATACAGACAAATTATGTAGTGACAGTTTGTTCGCTGTCATATTGTAATCCTGCTTACCTACAGATTATTGAGTTTTTCTTACATGTAGTCCGTGTATGCATTGACTATCGGGTTGCCAAATTATTGCCATTCTAAAAGAAAACGCGGTTTGTTAGTAAATATTCCCAGCTTAAATCTAGGACTTCTTAGAAAATTTTTCTCTTACCTTTAAGCTTTAGTAGCAGGGCTTTCTGCATCACTTTAGGCATCAACTTCAGTAGGGCATCAAAAGGAAGCCAAGTAGACCTGATTTTTATCGGCATTTACAAAGAATTTCTTTCTCGTTGAACTAGATGTAGGTGTTTGCTTTGTTCTATTCTTTTCAACCGCTCTGCCGTAACAAAACTGGTTCGTTTGGACCTTGGATACTATATCAATTTTTATGTCTCTGCCTTTTATCCAAACTGTTAGGCTGTTATCATCTGGTTGATTTTTACCATTTGAGTGCAGGCCGAACCTCTGTGTACCTATCTGAGCACTAGAAATAGTTCCACCGAGTCGAACCTCGACCTTTGTTCTCAGTTCACGTAGATCTTCATTGATCTCTACCTGGTATATTCTGGCTTGTTTAACTTTGGAGGATGTACTCAAATTGATTTTGTTTTTCAGGGTAAAGGTACTAGGTAAGTTTTTACTTGATTCACCTTGGACTGTAACCTTAGCCTTATCATTTAATCCACACTTTGAAAAACTTGACACTTTCTACTTCAACGAATGAAAAATTCCTGAATTAAGTTAGAGAACAAAGATGTACCGGTGAGCGGAAGATTTTTTCGAAGATTTCATTGACTAAAATTTTACAATCGTATTTATTAATATTGGAAACAAATAAAAGTCTATTATTAGTCAATAGGGTCATATATTTATCACAATGTCCATGAGTAAAATAACGTGCTGTTTCTGAAGACGGGAGAAAATCACTACACTGGCTATGGTAAAGTAAATGATTGCTCTTAGTGTTTTAAACGCAAAGATCAGTTGCAAATTTTTAAACTACGAATGATTTGGCTATGCAAATATGAAAAGGTCAGAGGCCCTTGCAGTCGTTAGAAAATACTGGGTAAATTACTTAGAAGGGATAACAAAGAAGGATCAGATGTTCGAAGGTGACAAGGTATTCAAGACTAAAGCTATCCATATTCTACATTTCTTAGATAACCAATCTGAGTAATGTTCTAAAATACTCCAAGTGATTTCACTTTGTGGATGACCAGTGTGCACTGCTCCACAGAAACAAGTAAACTGCTAGATGAGCACTGATGTGGCCAAAGGTGATATTGTCTCCTTCACACGGTAACAGACTAATTTCCTGTTGCACAGTATAGTTTCTCAGGCTAGCTGGAATGTCACCTCTGAATTCCAGACCCATATAGAGAGTTCTCATTGACGTGGTTTGTAACTTCTGAAACTTAATAGTCCATGAATCCAGGGGTATATCTGTTTTTTAGTGAGACGTTGTGTAGACGTCACTGTTTAGTGTATCTTCGGATCAAATCTTCTGCTTCCTTGAAAAAATCAGACGTACAAGGTTCAGTGCGCTGATACTGAGGATTTTGAATACAATTATTATTATTATTTGTCCTTGGGTTCCTAATGGAACATAGGACTACAGTAGCAAGTCGCCATTCCACTCTGTTCTCTGCAGTCTTTTCAACCTGGCACCACAACTGCCCACAAGCTTTCATTTCTTCCTCACACCATCCTCTCCATGCAACCCTGGTCTCGGACGCCCAAATCGTTGTATCGCATTTGGGTTCTGCTTGAGGGACTGGCCTGGCGTATGGTGTCCCCGAATTGTCTTCTCAGTGTATGCCCAATCCATCTCCACTTTCTTCTGCATATTTGTTGGGTGATGAGTTCGCTGCCAGCCAGAGTTCCTTGTTCTCTGCTTATTCTTATTATTCTGGCCATCTGATCTAATCTGGAGTATCCAGAGTAGGCAGCTGTTCATGAATGTCTGTAGTTTGTTAGGAATGCTTTTCGTAACGCACCAAGTCTCTCAACCATCACATAGAAGCACTGACTTGACTGAATTAGTGTTGAAAATCTGGATCTTGTTCACGCTTCATGCTGATTTCAGTAGATCTCCATACTGACTTCAGATTGATGAAAGCCCGTCTTGCTGTCTTTCTGGTCCTGGCTTTGACATCCTCATCTGTGCCACCGCCGCCGCCTGTAGTTGAGACGATGCTGCCTTGGCAAGTAGGTGAAAGGGAAAACACCATTCAGATTTCGCCCGTTGATGGTGATTGGTGTTTGTTGTTGTTGGTTGCGTATCTTCATCGGCTCTGGCTTCTCTTTATTCACCTGAAGGAAGTCCTATCTTCGCTTTCCCGCCTTTTCTGCCAACTTGTTGGTTTTGCCTGTAGACCTTCGAGTTTGTGCATCATTAGGCATAAATCATCATCGGCGAAATCCAAATCTTCTAGGCTCTTTTCATCGGTTAAACAGTGTATGCCAATCTTCTCACTCCTCACAGTTTGCTGCATGATCCAGTCCACCACAATAAGGAAGATGATTGATGACAGTAGGTGGCAACGTTATCTTACTTCTGTCTTCACTTCAAAGGCGTCACTGAGCTGTCCATGAAGATCACTTGGCATGTGGCGTCGTCATATAGCTGTTGAATGAGGTTGATAAATGTTTGTGGCACTAAAATCGTAGTGGTTAAGCAACTTCCAAATTACTTCTCGGTCGATGCTGTCGGAGGCCTCTTGAAAATTGATGAAGTTGAGGTAGAGAGTTAACTGCCATTCTATGCTCTGTTCTGCAATGATGGGCAGCGTAGCGTTGCAATTTGATCCGCACACGATTTATTTTTCCTGAAGCTAACCAACCTGTCCCAGTGGTAATTATGAATCCAGTGCATCCTTTAGTCTGTCCACGATGGTGCGGCCTAGTATTTTGCTTGAGGTGAATAAGAATAGGCGCGTAGTTCTACGCCAGTTCTTGCAAAGACTTAGGTCAGCGTTCTTTGGGAGTTTGACAAGGTAGCCCTTCTTCCAATCAGCAGGTGGCACCTTTTCTTCCCTCCTTAAAGGCGCAGAAGTTTGCAAACACTTCTCTATTCTCATTCATCGTTTCAGCGAGTGCTTCTCAATCCATGATGAGTTTCTCTCTTGTGGTGTCTCTTCCCAGTCTGGAATCATGTTACCCATTAGAATTTTGATGTCGCCAACTGAAGTCTTTTCCAGTACTGATCGCAATTTTCTGTAGATTTCCCCCTTCTTCTTTTCATCTGCATTATTTGTAGGTGCGTAGCGTAGCATTGAATGATTGTGACTTTCCTTCCTTTTGAGTTGAATCAGTCTTGTTGTTATGATCCTGGAGGAGATTGGTTCCCACTGTATGAGAGCCTTCGATGCTATTGGGGACATCATGATAGCCACTGCCTCAGCGCGCTCATGGTTGTCGTCTGGGTGACAATATCGGAGTAGATTATTGACTCTTCAGTTGATAGTTTGGACAGTCTACTTCCATTCCATCTGCTTATCCCTCGCAGATTCCAAGCACTTCCATGTCATACCTCCTCATCTGTTTTGCAATCTGGACATCCTTGGTAGGTTCATACATGGTGCGAACATTCCATTTCTCCATACTTTCTTTCGCTTTCATCGAGAGAAGACACATAGGCCGACTGGCTTCCCAAAGGCAGGTTTTCACCTACCAGAGTCATTTTGTCTCTCCAATTCCAGCGAGGATTAAGTTAATTTTCATTTTTTATATTTTCTTTGTGCTTTGAAGTTTCTTTAGTGATTGTATTGGTTCTAAGGGGTAGGGGTAGGGGTAGGGTTGCTAGCCCTATGCCCAACCTTTTCTCTTTATTCGGGCTTAGGACCGGCAAGTAACTAGTGAACTAGTTGACCAGGCGAGGTTATATCCCGAACTGATGTAATTCGGAAACTGTGAACGATTGAACTAGTTAACTAGTCAAGGTTTAATTACAATTTTAAATGTAGATTATACGATGTCGTCAAAAAAGAAGAATTTTCTCTGTCACACTACTGTTCATTAACTTTTATCTTCGTTCAAACCAAACCAAAGGTAAAATCTTTCTTTCATGATCACCTTGTATTATTGCGAACTGGCCTCAATTTTCTGAAGTTGTCTACCTCAACGGAAATTCCTCCTCATATGGAATAATCATATAAATTTATTGAGTTGATATATACGAAAGTGTCATTATACTCTGAAAAAAATGAATAACTTGAGAAAGGAAACAAAGCAGATAATGAAATGAACTTTATTACTGGTGTACAACTTAAAAATTCAAGTAACGTCATGAGTGTTCATAATATAACTTCTCTAAAAGAAGAAACATTTACACGAAGTTCAAAAACACATCATTTCTCCTTTACACAACCATGTATAGTCTTTTTGGTCAAGTCTAATTTGAACCATATCAAGGGAACTTTGGAGAAGTCTACACCACGTTTAGAAGTGTATTAAGATCTAAGTGGTAACTTCCCTCTTTTTTTACGGTGTTCCCATCATTCTTCCATGCCTCTGAGATCACATAATTACCTCCGTCGAACGTTGTTTTTAAAATACTATACTATCTCAATTGGAGATGGGTTACACTATGAAACATCACTCGGACAAATACCTGAGAATATTAGATCGACTGCATTCTATTCTTTAGGTATCTGTCATACAGAATCAGATGAAATGGTTCATCTTAAACAGGATGCGACTGTCATTCATTCAGACACTTAACTAGTTAGTTGAATGGAAAATCCAGGACTGTGTCTTCATTAATATTAATCATAAAGTTTTCGATTTAAAGGGCATGTTATGCTTTATCCTATTGTACTGAATTGAACAGAAAAGTGGTATTTTCATACAGCTACTTATCAACCATTGTAAGTGTTTGACAATTAAAGAATCCTCCCATTCGTCTACATTCATATCTGAATTCGATAGGACTAAAGCTTACTGGTGGGAAAACTTGAGGACAACCAATCAGGTTATGGATGCTGTGTTCAGGTTCATTTCTTACATCTGTTAACGATGTTGCTTACACTGTATATACTTGATGAATTGTGGCGGAGGTTACATTGCAGATTACTCATATAGATAAATCTTAATTGTGAGTATGGTATTGTTATGGACTGTGTACTTCACAGTGAGAAAAGAGTTGGTTTCATCTTTCGTTGTTCCAGCTGTTGCAAGACGAAATGTTTAAGAACAGGGTCATCTTTCAGCGGATTTTATCAAACTCTTCAGTGTAAACAATGATTTTAATACTACATTGTGTTGTGAAACACTTGAATATCAGCAGGAACTCTGACAGATGTTGGTAGGGTTTCTTCAGTACAATGGTATTAGCACTGCTGAGATATTTGCTCCGAAATAACATAGAGGTTGATTATGAAGCTTGATAGAGTAGGTAATGTGGTAGAAATGAATGAACGTCTTGTTAGGAAACGCAAATATAACCGAGGAAGAAGACTTAAACAGGAGTGGCTAAGTTTCATGCATGTGTCTTAACTAGCCACAGATGACACTTTCAGCGTATAAAGGACAGATCGAAAAGTCTATCCTACCAGTTACAAGAAAATGGGTAACATCGGGTACCACAATACGCATAGATGCTTGGAAGTCGTACATTTCATTATCTGGAATGGGTTACCCCCATCAAGTTATTGCTCATAAAAAGCATTTCGTTGACCGGACAACGTTGAGAATACGTGGAGGTGTCTTAAAAAGCTTCAAAGACCTCTAACAAGATCAAAAAAAGATGTGTTATGGTCTCATATGGATTAATGGTAATGCAGACAATGGTATGGTTTCAAAGATAATAAACCTATTGAAAATCTAGATATTTTTATTGCTCATGTGGAACAAATTTATGAATTGTAAATAAAGTGGCATTTTCATTAATTACGTTGACCTTCATATACTTGATTTTGATTGGTCAGTGCCTGCTTGGAAGTGACTGATCGTCACTAAAGTTTAGTTCTACCTTGAATTCTATTCTCAGGCTATATCCGGATTTGATTTGATACTAAACGGTACCATTCGTTATGTGAACTATTTGGGAATCGTCAGCTGGATGTATCTTCTTCTCAACGGTTTATGTTATTCCCAATGAAACATGAACCTAGTAGGTACGCTTTAAAGATAGTAGCCTAATGCAGTAGGCTACAAAATTACAGAAATCCCTATTTACGCCGCAGGTGAAGTTTCCCTGTTGTAGGCTGTTATGGTTATGAGCCTCAGTGGGATAAATGACATTCAAGAGGAGGCAGGTACATCCAGTTGTCAACTCTTCATCAGTAGGAAACTCGTGTATTGGATCCGACTGCTAGCTAATACTGATTACATTCAAAATAAAGTTATTTGTATTGTCGAGCAATCCACACAGATAGCCTATAAGTCGGCAGTGATGAATCAGATTCGCACAACAAAATCAGTAATGAAGAATGGTAAGATATAATATTAGGTAGTGTATAACGAATGTAAAAGCTTTCCCAATAATTATGATGTAATGTGTTAAATTCTAATTTCAGGGGATTCATCCAGTACCAGATCTGTTCCAATCTATCCTGCAACCTATTCACCCTACAGATATTAATCATGAATCCGAATATCACTAACTTCTCCGCCTGTTGAAAAACAGAAAACAAATTCATTCATAGATTCACTCACGAACAAATTTACAACCCTTTTTAACCTTGAAATCTACCTATTCATATTGCAAATCTGTTTTCGCAACAACCAACAGTTTATCTTTGCCAGTTGTGTTTGTGTTTTGAAACTTAGCCTTAACATCCCTTTCTATTTTCTCGTATTTAGCCTATTTTTCTTCAACATCATAGCCCGTCGAATTGTTCATTTTCCATTTCCAGCAGAGAAGAATGATTATTATTGGCTTAAGTCATTGCTTAACAGCGTTACACATTCTTCCCTTATCCTATTCTGAGTAATAATTTCATTCATTCAGTCAGATTATATATATTACATGGATATGTTCTTGTTTATGCATTTTATTTATTAGAAAAGGACGATACAGAATTGTCTATCCTGTACTTAATCCTGAGTATAACATTAAGTCTTGTACACCAAGTATATCTGATATGTTGTTAAGCTATTCTTGGGCGTTTGTGTGTGTGTTGCACTGATCGGCGTGGTGCTTGAAACTTTTACCTACATCGTCTCCCTTAATATTATATCAGAGAGTTAGATACTTAGATAGACGATAGCTTGTCAACATGTCTTTCATACATCTCAATAATCACTTAAATCAATTTCATAATAACCTTATTATCAGTATTATTATTATTATTATTGTTTCGTGTTTTCCTCTGTGGATGGCATCCTAGAGCAATTAAGCTTTAAACGAGTGAATGTTTTGTAGTAGATGTGTTTAGCCCATCTTTACCTGCAAGAGAATAAACGTATTTTTAAAGGTGTATACATAGTGTTTGTTCTTTATGATGCAGTGCTGATAATTTGGAATTTCAAAGACTACGCGTTTCTGATTGGTGATAATTCTTTGAACATTTTCTAGTTGTTCATTCAGTCGAGTATCTGTCCTTCACCAGCCGGCGTACATGACACAGTGGTCCACCTAACTCTCCATTAGTTTACTGAATTGCGACACACATGGAAGTTTTCACGGACTACAGGCGGTGAGCATAGAGTTCTTCCCTTTTGAGGTTATCAGCACCACCCAGTGGGATGAAGATAACAACTGATAGTTCTTCATATCTTTTCGAAACTCGAGAATATGTAACCAAGAAAAAACACCTAGATCTTCAAAACGATATCATATACCAACAAATCATACTACGTCAGTTACCTGGCTAGCAGAGTCGTGGTCAAGCAGCGCAGCGTAACATAACATTGCAGTAAATGGTATGAGTGCTTTGTCTCAAACTTCCGGATTCCTTATTCCCTCAAGACTATGAAGGTCAACGCCATGGCTGAGTGGCATTCAACTGTAGGTTATTGGTTTTTGGGTTTGATTGACTGCTCCAATGATGAGAATGACAGAGTTGTCCTCGAAATAATGGAGAATATTTGTAGCTCAGGTGGATGGCCTTGGTTGTATTGTGTTCTCTGAGCTGGGTTATTTAATCGCAAAGCTTTCATCGTCTTGCTGGACGACATCATCAGCACTAACTTCAGTATGAAGTGAGCTGTCAATATCTCTCCGTGAGTGATTTATGGCTTGCTCTGACGATGTGGTCTGTGATTGGTTGTTTCCTTCGATTGTTGTGTCATTGACTGTGTAGACTTTCCTGTTGGCTGCCCGTTCCTCTACTTGACCTCTGACCTTTCTGTCATTTATCATTTTTCTTATTGGTTGATAGATCGCGTCTATGTCTATACATCTGTTGATTGCTGACTGACTGATCTGAATGCCAAGCTTCTAGGAGTTCTCTGACATTCTTTGTGTTTCCTCTATCACTCCAACATTTCTACATTGTCGAAATTGAATTCATGTGCATAGTTGCTATCCACGTGCAGTGAAATGAGTGATGAAATGTCGTGACGTTTGCTAGCCGATTGGTGTTCATGTAGACCAAGGCGAAGAGGGCGACCACTTTGTCCAATGTAGTGTTGACTACATTTATTGTAGTTAATTTTGTAAATGATATTCGGTTTGTATTCTTTACTTGTTGCATCCTTTGGTCTGCATAATAGTGTTTGGAGGGAGTTTGTTTGTTTATGAGCCACATCAATTCCAAGTGACCTCGGTAATCTTGTCTGATTTCTGACACATTCTTTATGCATGGTGGGATGATGCGTTTATTAATTTCTGTCGATGACTTTGTAGTTGATGATGTACGGGATGGCATCCTCTGATTAAGTTTCTTGAGTAGCCGTTCTTCTTTAGGATGGACATCAAGTAATTTTCTTCCTTTCTCCTTGAAGCTGTTGTGCTGCGATGTGTTCTTGCTCTTGTGAATAGAGTCTGCGCGCAACCGATTTTGTGTGTCGTTGGGTTGTTGCTATTGTAGTTGATTATTTGGTCAGTGTGTGTTGGTTTCATGTACACTTGGGTTTCCAGCTTTCCAGCATTTGTCCTACTGACTAAAACATCCAGGAATGGTAGTTGGTTGTTTGACTCTTTCTCCATTGTGAATTTGATGTCATTGAAAACGTTGTTGATCGAATTGTGGGTGTTTTCTATATCATCCTTTTTAATGATGACAAAAATGTCGTCAACATAGTGAATCCAAAATATTTTTTGTTTGATCACAGGTAGAATGATGGCTTCCAGTCTCTGCATCACTGCTTCTGCAAATAATCCGGATATCGGTGATCGCATTGGAGTTGCTTTAATCTGTTTGTATATCTTGCTGTTGAATTGGAAGTATGTTGTCAGACAAAGGTCGATGAGTTCCATCAGACGTGAACATTTGAGTTTTGTGCGTTCTGAAAGGTTTTTCTCTTCATTGGTCAGGAGGGATATCGTTTCCTTGGCAATTGAGGTTCGATGCATGTGTATCGTGCTGTGACATCGAAGGATATCATTAACTAGTCTTTCTCTATGTTAATACTTTTGATCTTTCTAAGAATTCCGTTGTTGACTCAATGGTATGTCCGCATGATCGGATGAGGTGTTTCAGTTTTCTCGAAAGTCTTCTTGATATGTTGTACGTTGGTTCCTGGAAGTGAGACTATTAGTCGTAGAGGGATATCGGGTTTGTGTAGTTTTGGTCTGCCGCAGACTCGAGGAAGGATATGTCCTTTCGATTACATACGCCATTTGTCTTGTTTTGTTATTTCTTCTGCTTTGAAGAGTTTGTTCAAGGTTTCATTGATCTGATTGTCGAACTTTTGGACAGGGTTGGTTTCAAGTGGTTGATACACACTTCATCTTTGAGTAATTCCTCTGCCTTCTTGATATAGTCTTCTTTGTCCATAACTACTGTAATGCGTCCATTGTCTGTTGGATGTATACCGATATCTTTCCTACTTTTCAGTCTTTTTAAATGTTTTGTGTTCTTGAGTGTTCATTTGAGCATGATGTCTCCTCTGCTGGTTAGTAGTACGATTGTTTGCCGTATTTCTTTTTGAGTGACCTCATTTAATCCTAATGTTTTAAGTGACGATTCTAATGCCACCAAGGATTCTGGTTTCGAGGCATCTCTTGTGTTGCAATTTATTCCTTTTTGAAGGAGAAGTCCTTCCATTTTTGTTATAGGTTGTTTTGATTAGTTGGAAACGTAGTCGTTTGTTTATTTCGGTTGTAGGTGCTTCCGAGATTTTGAGTAGCTTTTTCCTTAGGACTTTTCTTCGTTGCTCTTTGTATCCTCTGCTTGATTTTTCAATTGCAGTTGTCAATGTTTTCATGCGTTGCGTCTTGAGTTTGCTTTCCAGTTTTCTCTTTTGATTGTTAATCACTGATTGGTATTTCCAGATCCCATGATGTGCATCTCTGACCATCAAATGTACCATTTGCCTTCCACTTTGTTCAGCTATTTTCCATCTCATTGGACAGTTAATCGGTGGTCTGTATCTGACACTTCGGCAGAACATGCTGACGTAGGCACTCATGGAGAAAGAATAGTTGTTCTTTTGTGGAAGCTTGCCTTTTGGAGAAGTCTTTCCATCTTCGAATAACGTGAAGCGTGTCACGCTCGTATGATTTTGATTTCATATCATCACCTATAACAAATAATAACAGTATGATTTCTGAGATGAATGGGAATTTTTAATTTCGAGTAGTATTCATTACAGACTGACATCAGTTGGGGAACCATTGAAAGTCTGGGAGCACTGGACAACTGTTTCGTCCTAGTATTGGACTCCTCAGCTGTCCATTGCTTCCAGATTTTCAATCTCTCCCCAAGTGATATCACTCCACGATGAATACCACCTCTAAATAACAATATGACTTTATGATGACTAACGAAAATTAGTCAATAGTCACAAAACATCGGATAGCCAATGGTCTATTCACGTGAAGCTCTTAATCCTCTCGATAAATATAAACAACGCAATGAGAAGACAGATATTACCTAAAACATAAAATGTGTTCCGTCTACAAATTTCGAAAATCTGATCGTAATCCGACTTGTCGAATAATTTATTAGAAAGCTGAGAAGGGTTAATAATGCCGATAGGACTATAATTAGGAATTATAATAAGGCTAGTTGCCTGCTATAAGAGAGAAATCACAAATGTTTAGTTGTTGACCTTAGGCAAACTTACCAGACACAAACGCCAACTACGAATTTTTCGTATTGATTAAATACGCACGAGTGCGAGGCCAACAGAGAACACCATAGAGTAGTCAGATTGGAATCGTATAATTGAATAATTGAATAGTGTAAATTTACCGAGATGCATGAACTAACCGGCTAGGGAATTGTAAACTTGTAAAGCAATGCAACATGAAATGTATTAAATGACATGGATGCTTAACCATGAACATTTAGCTTAACAAGTCTGCTGAAATAATGCAGGTCAGCATCGATATTAAGTATCGTCAAAACTAAGGCAACTAGTTTGCAGAATTACTTGCCCCTAGACAGATTTAGCTGCCGACTACTGTCCGAATAAAATGATGTTTGTTGGTTGAGAGGTGATGTGAGCATTAGTTGAGCGCTGACTTATGCCACTACAGTAATGTCTACAGAAAACAATGTGTAATTAATATAACGAACAAATTACTGCTTCTGAAATCTAGTAAATAATTTTGATACTCAAAATTACATGACTGAATTTTTGAGTGCTACAATGAGTTGTGCAACACGATTAATCGCCTGAAGGATAAATCATTAATAATATTAAACAGCCGAGTCGACAACATGCAAGAAGTTTATAGAATAGTAAGAGGAGAAGAAGGAACGATTAAAGACGTTGCAGATTAAGACCATGAAAGCAGAAGGGAGAGATTGAATAAATCTCATTTTTATGGAAAGCTCTGAAGTTCTGATGGGATTAAATCCAGCTTCGGTCTGTGGTAGTTTTCTTTTCACCCTATAGATAACCTTAAAATAAGAGTTCGCCGAGAATTAATGCTAAGTGTCGAAAAAGTGCTCAGTTATTTTACTCATTCTGTAATCACTACCATCTTTTCACAACCATGCAGGATACTTTCGTTGAATTCTGCCGGACAGGACTGGAGGTGAGAGACTGGTATACCCAGTTCCACAAGAATAGATGAACTGGTATCCATACATTGATGGAATCTGAGATGAGACTTCACCATTCAGTTCGCTATAAAATAGCAAGCAACTCATGAACACTTCTCTTAGTGAAGCTCCAGAGAACGTGATTCTTAAAGAGTCGGAAATCATCATCTTCAAAATATCAGCAGCTAAATCAACTTTGAATCCAAGGTTCATATACAGTGTTTTTTTTGGCACAAACGCAAGGTAATCTCTTTGAGAAGGGAGCTCAATTTTTTCACCTGTCATACAAAGTAGGCATATATTTCTGATCATAATTCTTCCC